TGCAATCCAAATACGTAGGTGTGTCTTGTTTACCTGAGATTTGTAAGAGTTTGAGCTGGCCAACATGTTAGTTGTTTTCATATGGTTGATTACTGGCATGTTGATTTCCCATTTTTGAGCCATGTTTTCAACTTTGTTCGTCATTTTCATATAACAATCTCGTCATATGTTAACATTGTCGTCTATGGAAGTTCAATTAGTGGTATGAGCCCTGAAGTAACCCACTGTAAAATATCAGCTTAATCTCTAGTTTGAAAGGAAATATAACGAACGATTTGATTGGACAGTACATTGAAGAAACTAACCCTATTATTGCCAAAGATGGCGCACGTAAACTCTGGCTGACTAGAATATCCCAAAGTAAATTGTGAGACGATGGTCAAATATACGAACCTTGGCTCGAAGATGCGTTTGATAAAGATAAGTGTTTTTCAACTGTGGTGGAGTTTTGCACTCTGGGAGTGTCCTTAATCTACCTACAGCAGAGCGAGGCAGCGCGAATGTATGGCGTTTAGTGCATAGTCAGCTGGTATACAAGTGACAACAAAATTAAAAAATATATATATTTGTTATTGACATTATTCGTTTTGAAATGAACACAGTCAAATGCTATTCTAATTTCAAGAAAAAAACTAAATGCAAATATAATGAATACAAATAAATGCAATTAATTTAGCGATATTCACTGTATGGGGTCGCCATCTTGAATACGACTGGGATCTATAAGAAAGAGATAAGTTTTCAAGTTTCATACAAATTAGGCAAAACATTCAAAACGACCAATTTGGCGTCTTCCCATTGAAAATCCCGGGCATAAAAAACGCCTCGTTACATGAAGCACCAAGAACACTTTCCATGGTAATTTGAAGCGATATTATCGCCCATCCATAACACCATCACCGATTGGCTACTGAATCTCTGTGTCGATTACAGTACGCGATCAGTACAAGTAGTCAGTTCCAGATGCAAACACAAAAATATTTCCACAAATCACCAGTACCATGAACACAGAATAGCTGAATCGTTAGAAAAAAATGCGTTATTACACGAAAATTGCTATATATAGCGCCGATTTACTCGAAACGTCGAAATGCTAAAATCAAATGATATTTATATCACGGGGAAATTCTTCTCTCTGGGTTCTCCACACGTGCTAGGGGGAGGGGGAATCTCGTCTCGTCTCTCTATTGCGTCCCCTTGAGGTATAGGATCGGGAAAGTCACTTAAGCCTTACAGTCAAATAAGACACACACAACGAAATACGTTTCAACTCTTGTCTTAGTCGGTCAGTCGAGCACTCTATAAGACACAGCGCCCTGGGGAAAAGTCCCCAAGACTATCGCAAGGCTGACGCAAGACTGCCTCTAGATTGCGTCAAGACTCGCCCCAAGACTCTCCAGGACTGCCTCTCTCCTCGTGGTGTACTCGCCAAGACCAACTAAAACACTTTATTCACTTTCAAAACCTTAACCAATTACAAAGAAGTATTAAGACTCTAAGGCGTGGCCTTCAATCATACAGCCAATCACACTAAGTACTAAACAGTCATATCTTTTGATTAATCGTTCACTACATTAGTAATTGCGAATACCAACTGTCAGAAATAGCGGTCCGAATAGCGACGGTTATCTCGTAATTAGTTCCAAATCACTGAGCCAGTTTCCGTGCAGGACCTCGCATAGGTCTAAACGATGACAGACATAACACAGCCACTCACTCGTAATCAGCTATTTAAGTCGATTAACAAATACGCAAAAACAAATTCATCACATTTACCAAAAAACAGTGCAATACATTTTCAGGACGGTTTGATTTTGAGACAAATACAGCTGAATTAGGTTGCAATTTGCTGGAGAGGCTACATTTGAGACACGGCAAATCGATCAAATTTTGGAAGATATCTGATTCCTATTGCCATAAAGATACGAAGAAAACTCAACACTGCCCGGTAATTTAGCAAATTGTGGACAAATGCTCATGTCATTTTAGGAGAGATTGCCATTCAGACAAAAACTAATCGATTCAATTAAATTTTGAGGAAAAAAACGAATTCGCTTTCCATTGAGAAATAGCTGTTTGGAAGAATTCTTCACTATTGCCACAAATAGACATTGTAAGAATAGATATTTTGCAACTATGGTGAAGGTCTGTACTCTAGAAGGGCTTTTCAGATTGAAATAATTATTTTATTTTGATTTATGCTGTATTCTTTCCTAACACAAGCATCAATAACATTTTAGCTGAACATGATATGATCATCTGACTAGAGTAGCTTCTTGAAACTCTTTTTGGCCAAACCTACTATTAAATATATTATTAAACATATTTAGCTTCATTGTGAGTTTTTTCGGTATATTCTTATTCATATAATACATACAAACTGAAGCGTTCGAGTGTACATTACGCAATGGAAATTCAATATCCTTGTGCGAGGCTGTTTACAGTCTCGATTTCTTCTTACGCTCTCCTGTAACACCATCCGTATGTTCAGATGAAACGATTCGAAATGAAAGACAGTACAAACACGTAAGTCAACATATATCCTTGGTATTGACGGGGACAATATCGCGAAAATATTCTCATTTAATGTAAATTAATATGATGAAAGGTTAAGCAGTGAATATAGAATTATCAATATGATCGATATGAATACCATGGTAATATATTGATTCCATTTCCTTATACTAAGTTAATGTATTATGTAAATGAACTGTCAAGATCGGAAATTGTAGATTCTATTTGTAGATTCCATTCAAACTCTATATTGCAGCGCGTCGATTGTCGTCTTATCAGGAAAAACACTACGACGTGAAGTGATATCAATATTTTTGCTGTTGTGTGACACCACGAACACGAGAAGACTATGTATGTAGGCTGTTGAGGCATGGTGCTTCCAGTATATGCCATCATATTTCCACCATATTCAACCAATGCATTGATAAGAGTATTTCTCCTGAAAATGCTAAATTAGCTGAGGTTGTACCACTTTTTTAAAAAAGACAACAGACCAGTCAGTATTTTGCCATCTATATCTAAGGTTATGGAAACTATTATTCATAAAGAGATGTCAGTTTTCCGGGATCATATATGGGATTCTAAAATTGCAGCTTATAGAAAGGGTTATAGCTGTCAACATGTCCTTTTACGACTTGTGGAAGACTGGAAGCTTGCTTTAGAAAACAAGCAACAAGTAGGGGCCATTCTAATGGACCTTAGTAAAGCATTTGACTGTCTCCCTCGTCAGCTGATAATTGCCAGGCTGAGAGCCTATGGCATGTCAGTGGAAGGATGTGCTTTCATCTGGTCTTATCTTACATCTAGAAAGCAGAGAGTCAAACTATCTGGGCATGTTAGTGACTGACTCAGTTTATGTAAGGGGGTCCCACAGGGGTCTGTTTTAGGGCCAGTACTTTATAATACTTTTGTAAATGACCTTTTTGCAA